GAAACTGAAGGAATAGGGAGCCAAGGAACATGGTTTAAGGACAGTGATATGATGAAAGTATTTAATCTGAGGGAGCAGGAAGAAGAGCAGGGGACTGGAGTTACAGAGGTGGGCTTGGAGGCTGTCGTAATCATCTCAACATAAGACCAGATGGAGGCCAGACATCTGGAGTGTGCAGGAGCTGGCTAGCTCAGGCTCAAGAGAGCCAGTTGTGCTCCCAACTCTGCATTCAGTGACTTCCTATGGTAGCCTGAAATTAGACAAGGTGGAAGCATTTATACCATGGAAATTGGCCAATGCTACAAATCAGAGCCCTATCTTGCCTCTGCTCCCCGGCTAGTTTTTAATATCGTCTAGCAGATCAGTGGGCCCAAGGAAACAGGGGTATTTTTGAAGGCAAAATCAATTCAATTCAGAGATTAGTTATTATATGAGTACTATTTGGGGAGTGTAAGAAAAGGATATATCAAAAGCATTAAAGACCATTTGATCTTGTCTCATTTCAAAGGCAATTTTAAAAAGCATTTTAAGGAAAGATATTGTTATCATCAAATTATGCTGCTTCTATGCCCTAAAATGAAGGCTGCTACTTTTATACACAATGGCACAAGCTACCAGCTGAATTAGGGAGAGTTAGGATATATGCAGGAAAGAATTAAATGCCCTTGGGTTTTTCCCCAGCCAGGTACTGGATCATGCCTTGTGGACCGGGGCAAAGGCTAAGCCTAGCTCTTTTGAGCCATGGGCCAAGTTAGGAACTGGAGATTAGTGACAGTGTGGGAATTTGATGCAGCAAGGTAGCAGCCCAGAAACCTAGGATTTCTGCTTTGTCACTGCCCCACCCCAACCAGAGCTGATGAATAAAGGGGTTGGCTTTGGGCCCCTGAGAGCCCTGAAGGGTTCTTAGGGTCTCTAAGGGATTGCCGGTTCTTGGATAATAAGTTTGCTTTTAACTGTACCAGACTGACAGAGAATCACTTTTCTTAATATTATTCTTGGCGTGGCATCTCGTGCTGCATCCTCCTGATTCATCTCTGCTACAGTTCTGTTGCGTATTTCTAGGATGTTGCATTAGAAAAACAAACAATGCCATTCAATCCAATCTTCTGTCAACTTCTAACGGTACCTACCGATGACAGGAACTTTGTTGATACTTGTCTATGTTACAGCCAAAACGTAAGAATATTGAGTAAAATATAAAACTCCCTGATAGAACTTGGTTCCATTACATGGCACAGTTCCCAGGCAGGTCACATGGGACTCGATGCTTTTTTTTTTCCAAAGCATGTAAGTCTTTTCAGAACAATTTCAGCGCCGGGTAGAATTACATCTTGCGGATGCCGTGACGTCTCTGTGTTCTGAACTTCTGTCGAGACTCAGATCATGCCTCCATCCTCCCGGAAGCCTCTGTTGACCCATTTCCAGGAATAATGCAGGTTTTCCTCTGGGCTCTCTCACGGAGTCATGTACTGTACTAATCTGTTTCCAGGCAGTGGCGTGATGACACAGGCTCTAGAGCCAAACTGCCTGGGTTCAAATCCTTGTTCTGTAATTTACAAGCGGTGATCCACTGGGAAGTTATTTACCATCTGGGCGTCATTGTTTTCATTTGTAAAATGGGGGTAACAATTATACCTTATGTCATACAGTTGTGAGAACCTATGTAAAGGGCTTAGCACCTGCCTGGCACATTGTAGGCTCAATAAATGTGAGCTATTATTACTGTTATTATTTCTTTCTCTACAACTGATTTCGAGAGTTTCTTGAGGGCTCCATCTTTCTCATGCCAAGGAATAGCAATTTCAAACGCTTGATTAGTGCACAGGCTGAGGAATGAATGAAAGGTGGAAGTCTCCTTGCAAATTTATATGTTGAAAATAATCCAACAAAGGTTTAGAAGTAAAGAGCAGCTTAATTTATAAAATTTTCTTTGTATATGCTTTTTAAAAGCCATATAAAATATTAAGCTCATTTGATTTGCAAATGAGAAACAAAGACTATAATACTTTATTCAAAAATTAAAAATATAGGCCGGGCGCGGTGGCTCAAGCCTGTAATCCTAGCACTCTGGGAGGCCGAGGTGGGCGGATTGCTCGAGGTCAGGAGTTCGAAACCAGCCTGAGCAAGAGCAAGACCCCGTCTCTACTATAAATAGAAAGAAATTAATTGGCCAACTAATATATATATATAAAAAAAATTAGCCGGGCATGGTGGCGCATGCCTGTAGTCCCAGCTACTCGGGAGGCTGAGGCAGAAGGATTGCTTGAGCCCAGGAGTTTGAGGTTGCTGTGAGCTAGGCTGACGCCAGGGCACTCACTCTAGCCTGTGCAACAAAGTGAGACTCTGTCTCAAAAAAAAAAAAAAAAAATTAAAAATATATATCTATATACTTATTCCTTGTCACAGGCCGGGGGATTTACTAGGATAAGCGTGGATTGCAGAAACACCCTTGGTTTAAATCCCAGCTCCATCATTTATTACTTGTGTGGCTTTGGGTGAGATGCTTCAATTCCCTATGCCTGAGTTTCCTCATTGGTGAACTGAGCAAAATAAAACCAGCCGGGGGTGGTTGTGAGAATTTAATGAAATCATATCCATGAAGCACAGTGATTGGTATATACTAAATTGTCAGCGGATGCTAATTGTTGTTGTTTAGTTGTTGATATATTAGAGGTGGGGGTAAGAGAAAAAAGAGAAGAGAAGAAAAAAGAGAGAAAAGGATCAAGGTAGGCAAGCAAGAAGGGGAAAGATAGCTTAAAAAGCCAGATATCCCACCCCCCCCCCTCCAAAAGGCAAATAGAGTGGCTCATAGATTTCATTTTGGTTTAAAATGTTATATTTTAAGTTTCTAGTTTTTGCACAGGTAACACATACCCATGGCATGAAATTCAAAAGGTACCAAAGGGTTCTCAGTGAAAAATAAGTCACTTTTGCCATGCCTGAGCCATTAGGGGCAACTACTGTTACTGGTTCCTTATGATTCCTTCTGGAAATACTGCATGCATTTATAAATAAAATATTCATATTTCCCACGAATATTTAGTTTTACTCTTCTACATAAGTGGTGGTACACTAACCGCACTCTTCCACACTTTGCTTTTTTTTTTTATTGAATGTGTTTTAGCAATCGTTTCTTATCGGGGATATAGGGTTGTCTCTTCCTTTTTAGACCTGGTATTCCCTTTGTTTAACCCATCCCCCACTGATGGAATTTTAGGTTGTTTCCAATCTTTTGTTGTTACAGCTAAAGCTACAGTGAATAATCTTGTCCATGTGCGATTTCACACTTACGAATGTATCAGTGAGATAGTTTCCTAGAAATCAAATTGCTGGCTCAAAGGATATGGGAAATTTTGACAGACAGAGACAGATAGAGGTAGTACCAATTGAACACTCCTTCCAGTGAGGTGTGAGAACATTCCTTATACTTTTGTCAGCACATGGTATTCTCAGGCTTCCTGATCTTTGTCAGACTGATGAGGAAAAAACATATATCAGAGTGGTTTTAATTTCCATCTCTCTTATGGTAAGTAAGAGGGAACATCTGGTCAGATATTGAGAACCATTTTTATTTTGCTTTCCATGAACTCTATGTTCCTATCCTTTGTATCTTTTTCTGTTGATTATTGATCCTTTTCTATTGATTTGAAGGAGCTTTTGATATACTCCAAAAGGCAAACTTTTGTTTTTCACATGTATTTTTAGTTAATTATTCATTTTTCTGCTTACAGTGTTTTTTGGCCAGGAAGAAAGGTTAGGTTTATATGAAGCAGATTTTATAGCCTTTCTTTTATGGTTTCTAGATTTTGTGACATACTTAAAAAGGCTTTTTTTCTCCCTCTCTCAAGTCTATGACAGATTTTTATTTGGGTTTGTTTTGTTGTTTGTTTTGTTAGAGATGGGGTCTCACTCTATCACCTAGACAGTGGCGCAGTGGCACAATCATAGTTTACTGCAGCCTTGAAGTCCTGAGCTCGAACGATCCTCCTGCCTCAGCTTCCTGAGTAGCTAGGACTACAGGTGTGTGTCACCACACTTGGCTATTTTATAATTTTGTAGATATGGGGTCTCACTATGTTGCCCAGGCTGGCCTCAACTCCTGGCCTCAAGGGATCCTCATGCCTCCCAAAATGCTGGTATTATAGGCATGAGCAACTGTGCCTCGCCAAAAAGGCTTGTTTAGTCTACTTTAATATCATAAGGATATTCTTCAAAGTTTTCTTCAAGTATTAGGTTTCAAAATATTGGACAAATACAGACTACGCTTGTCACATGACAAGAGGAAGTATTCTTGTCACACCCTCCTGTAAATATACATACACAGAAAAAATGTAGATCTCTCTGGATGGTGGAATAAACCATACTTCTTTTCTTCTTCGTATTTTTGTTTTCCAGGTTTTCTGCATTGATTATGTATTACTTTGGTACTCATAAAAATATTAATTAAATAAAAGTTCATTTTGACTTTTTTTTTTTTTTTTTTTTTTTTGAGACAGAGTTTCGCTTTGTTGCCCAGGCTAGAGTGAGTGCCGTGGCATCAGCCTAGCTCACAGCAACCTCAAACTCCTGGGCTCAAGCAATCCTCCTGCCTCAGCCTCCCGAGTAGCTGGGACTACAGGCATGTGCCACCATGCCCGGCTAATTTTTTCTATATATATGTTACTTGGCCAATTAATTGCTTTCTATTTATAGTAGAGATGGGAGTCTCGCTCTTGCTCAGGCTGGTTTCGAACTCCTGACCTTGAGCAATCCACCTGCTTTGGCCTCCCAGAGTGCTAGTATTACAGGCGTGAGCCACCGCGCCCGCTCAGCCCATTTAGACATTTTTTAACATTCTTTTAAGGTATCCCTTGGTTCCTGGATCTCTCCTGATGCTAACACTGCTGGCTGTTTTGCTTTGGAAATAGTCTGTCTGGCTTCCACCCTGAACAGCTGTGGCCCAGTCGGAATGACTTCTTATTGCTAATCAATGAATCTTTTCAGTCCCAGTCTTACTTTACCTCTACTCTGTCCGACCAATCCCTCCTGCTTGGCCTTGTCTCTCCTCACTCTCTGCTGTTCCTTCTTCTTCCTTGTGGACGTGCCTCAGGCCACTGCCCTGGCTGACCCCTGTGCAATAATAGGTAACATTTAGGAGAGCTCACTGTGCGCCAGGTAATCCAAGTCTGCCTATATTGTCTAAGTAGTGCTCACCACAATGTTCTAAAGGAGTCATGATTATCAGCTAGATTTTTCAGATGAGATAATGGAGCATTGTAAGAGTTAAATAACATGCCCAAGAGCACCCAGCTAGAAAAAGGTAGAGCAGGGACTCTGATCTTAACTACCACACGAAACTAGTCACTCTTTTCTCTGCCTTCCATGGGCCAGCTCATCCTTGTGTGGCTTTACTTGCTTACTCCCAAGTTTATGTCCCTAACTCTGCTCCCTCAAGGTCTTGCATCCTAGACAAGCTAGTGGATATTTCCACTGGGTTGTGCCACACACCTTAAATCCAGCATGCATATACCTCCTGAGATTATCCCTCTGGACTCAGGGGGCTAGTTTTCATATGGCCTGGTAGAAAAGGCTGGACAATGAGAGCACAGGGGACTTTAATTCAGGTATTCTATGAGGTTGGTGCTCTGCTTTAATTAAGTTAGATTCAATTAATCAGCCTACTACAGGCCTTGACCCCTGACCTCAAGGAATTTTTAATGATTCAGCTTGATTTGCCTGTCCTTGTTGTTTTAAGGCCATCGAATCCTTTTGGAAGATTGGTTACCTTTTCCGTACAGCTCAGAGTAATTTGCTTATTCTGATGGGAAGGCCCATCCATTTCCTAAAAGTGAACCGGGCTTCCTCTCAGGGAGCAATTAGCATTGAAAGTCTAGATCCGTTTATATCCCCTGAGATTCTGGGGTTCAATCCATTGGATTTAATAATCACAGAGAACTCAAGATGGTACATTAGATTTAAAAATAATTGTGTTCCAGTAAGAAGAACAAACTTCAACTGGAAGAGGAATCTTCTGGCTGAAAGATTGGTTTCTATGCCTTTACAATTAATAACAATCTCTGTAGGAAAAGCAGTATCAATTCCAATTCTCCAGGATAGGGTTTTTCTTTTAATTTTTTTTTATTAATTAAAAAAACTATAAAATAACACATGCTAATTGTAACTATGGCAGATTGCCAGCCCCTTGAGATGACCGCTTTTAATAACCTGTACTGCCGCCACACCCTGCCATGAACTCACACAAATGAATACTAACTGGCATCCTAATTATTATACATACATAAGGTGGGGGTTGGGTTATCTATTTATTTTATAGTAACGAAAACATACAATGCATATTACTCTGAAAATTTTTTTTCTCACCTAGCTCAACATGACGAACACCCCATTCAAGTCAGTTACTGTAGTTTTCATTCTTTTAAATAATATGTAATATATTAATAGCACATCCCATAATTTGTCCAACCAATTTCCTTTTGATGGATATCCAAGTTGGTTTTGGTTTTCTATCTCTACAGGCAAGTTTGTAGAAGACATCCTTATATGTACATTTTTATATAATGAAACATTTATTTCTTTGTTCTTTTTTTTTTTTTTTAGAGATGGAATCTTACTATATTGCTCAGGCTAGTCTCTAACTGCTGGCCTCAAGCGATCCTCCTATCTCAGCCTCCTAAATTGCTGGGATTACAAGCATGAGCCATCACACCCAGCTATTTATTTCTAAAGAGTCCTAATCATCAGGGAAATGCAAATCAAAACCACAATGAGATATCACTTAATTCCAGTGAGAATGGCTTTTATCGAAAAGTCCCAAAACAACAAATGTTGGTGTGGATTCAGAGAGATAGGAACACTCATACACTGCTGGTGGGACTGCAAACTAATACAATTTCTATGGAAAGTACTATGGAGATACCTCAAAGAACTAAAAGTAGACCCACCATTTGATCCAGCAATCCCAAAAAGACATTCTATAAAAAAGTATAAAAAAGACATCTGCACTTGAATGTTTATAGCAGCACAATTCACAATTGCAAAGATGTGGAAACAACCCAAGTGTCCATCAATACATCAGTGCATTCATAAAATGGGGTATTTGTATACTATGGAGTTCTGCTCAGCCATAAAAAGATAAACTACCTATTGAATTATCCTGGATAGAGCTGGAGCCCATTCTTTTGAGTGAAGTATCACAAGAATGGAAAAACAAATATCACATGCAGTCACCATTAAATTAGTACTCATTGATCAACACTAATGTGCACACATGGGAAGTAACAATCATAGGGTGTCGAGCAGGTGGCAAGGAGGAGGAGGGGATGGGTATATTCGCACCTAAGGGTGTGGTGCACACCGTCTGGGGGATGGGCATGCTTGTCAGGCGGTGCAAAGGCAATTTATGTAACCAAAGCATTTGTACTGCTGTAATATCTGGAAAAAAAAAAAAAGCAAAAAAAAAAAAAAGTCTTAAAAATAAGATTGCTGAGCTCCAGGGTTGGCTAGTTTCTAAAACTGTATTAATATATGAGCAGAGGAAGGGCAAAGGGAAGTCATGTACTTCTGCCTACCAGGTACTACAGTAGGTACTTTCCATAAGTTGTTTTGTTTCATCTTGGTCTCCTGTCTTTAGTCCTGCCCCAATCTCTGGTCTACATAACCACAGATGAACATGTCAGTCTTTGCTCAAAAGCCCTGCATAGTTCTCATCACCTTTAGGGTAAAGGCCAAAGCTACTAACATGGCCCACAAGGCCCTCCACAGTTTGGTCTCAGTCCCCCTCTTCCCTCTCTCTCTTGCCCCTCTTCCTTTCTGTCTGCATTTAAGCACACCCAAACTGTTTGCAGTTCCCCACCTTACCAGGCCATTTTAGCCCTCTAGGGCTTTGCTCTGCTTCCTCTCTGTTCTAATGATCTCCTCACCCACTTCTTCCCCTGGCTCTTCTCTCACCATCACTTAGCACCCATGCAGTCTTTGGCTGGTCCAGAACACCTTTTGCAGGTTGGTTTATGAATTGGTGAGGCTAGATCACATTGTAATGATTTGCCGGTACGACCCACCAATTTGGTGGCTTAACACAATTTTTTTGCTTGGTCAGTCAAAGTCTGCTGCATGTCTGGGTCATTCTCTTTGGCAGCTCCCCTCAAAGACCTGCCTGCCAGAGCTGATGGAGGCTCTTACATGCTATGTTCGTACTGGTCAGAACACCTGGCTTCCTTGGTGGCTACGGCAGGAGAAGAGAAGGTATCGCAGTGCATTGGCCCAGAAGTGACCAGGTTAGTCTCATTTTCAGCCCACTGGCCAGCCCTGTTACATGGCCCTGCCTGACTGTAAGGGGACAGAAGTGTGATCTTCTCATGAGGCCAGAAGCCTCTACCACAGGAGAGAATTCACCTCTGTCTATGTGTCTATTGGAATTATTTTCATGGCATCACAATCATGGTTTATGTGTGTCTTCTCCAGTACAGGGGGTGCTTCAAGACGGGAAAAGATTTTATTCAAATATCTTATTTATATCTCCAGCATCCGGCACAGTGTTTGGCATACAGTAAATGGCCAAAAAGACATTCGCTTGGACACATCCATTCCCACGAATCAATAATCTACATTTGATAGAGGGAGACACTAAATTTCAGAGAGGTCAGTTAACTCACCTGTGATCCCACAGCCAGGAGGTAGCAAAACCAATTCACACCCAAGTTCATCAGATGCCAAAACGGATACTTTTAGGATAGGTTCTAGAAGAATCTGGGATGGAAGTAGTTTGCCCATGGGGAATGAATGCAGTCTTAGAGACACGGGAATCCTACCCATCTCTTTAGCACACCAAGCCTGCAAAGCCCAGGTGCATCTGCCTGGGGTGTCCTCTTTGTGTTTGAGGAACCAGTGTTGAAAACCTAAGCAGCCCTTTGCAACCCAATACCTGCAGGTATGGACTTTAAAACCAAGCAAAACAAACAAAGAAAAAAACAGTACCAGCCAAACCAAAGGGTATTCAGCTCACTATCAGAGCATCCTTCTATCCTCACTTCATATATTTGAATTTAAATAAAACCCTTACTTTTTGTACAACTTGTGTGGCTACAGAGTGCTGTAGAATATGAGGTTTGAAATCAAAGTTGAGCCCCAGCTGCCACATTCCAGGCTCATCACTGGACCTCTCTCTGAGCCTCCCTTTGTCTTATAAAATAGCACCGACTATAAGAATACAATTTGGGGTAGACCTTAAGTACTAACTTTGTGTCCCACTAAGCTCAAAATTCCAGTAGATCTTCAGATAAGTACCCTACCTTCCTGATACTCCCAGAATTAGTACCACCTCTCAATCTTCTACAGCACTCTCACACGTATGTTTCTTCTGTGTTGCTATTTTGTGTTTTTAAAAAACCTTAAAAGATAGAGTACTGGAAGTGGAGTCATCTTACTCTCTAAAGATATTTTAAAATGAAAATTATTTGCTAAGCGTCCAATAACCATTCAGTTCAAGATAAATCTCGTGTCTATCAATTCTGTTTTCCCTTACTCTGATTTATTTTTATCATATCATTTACCAGCAGCTGAGATTATATTATTTATCATTTGCTTATGTGTTTATTGTCTCTCTATCCCACTAGGAAAGAAACGTCTTGAGGACTCGGACTTTGTTTTATTCACCACTGTATCCCAGTCCCTATAAAAGTGCCCGGTACATAACATGTCCTCAAAGAACATTTATGGAATAAATGAATGGACAGATGAATCTTTAATAACTGTAAACCACTCAGGGAATTACTTCTGATATGTGTGATGCAGGAGTTAATCTGATACTGCTGTTTCAATGAGATTTAAAAGTGATGGACTCTTGGAACATTCAGGTCCTTTGGTATTTGGATATGGGACTGAAGAGTTGATCAATGAGCAATAAAATAGAAGAAATCAATGATTTCTGGCAAAGTATCATTTAGATATTTTTTTTATTTCGGCATATTATGGGGGTACAGATTTTAAGGTTTTAATAAATGCCCTTTCCCCCCTCCCCCCACAAGTCTGAGTCTCCATCATGACCATCCCCCAGATGGTGCACATCTCACTCATTATATATGTATATACTCGCCCCCCTCCCCCCTCCCACCTGCCCAATACCCTATTACTGTAGTTCCTATGTGTCCACTTAGGTGCTGCTCAGTTAATACCAGTTTGCTGGTGAGTATATGTGGTGCTTGTTTTTCCATTCTTGGGATACTTCACTTAGTAGTATGGGTTCCAGCTCTAACCAGGAAAATATAAGATGTGCTATATCACTGTTGTTTCGTTTAGATTTTTTAATGCAGAAATAGGGTATAAATGGGAAGTGAGGCTATTTAATCCTGCATTATCAGTGCTTCTGGTGATGCCCATTTAAAACATTTTAACACTTTCTATTACAAAAATAGTAAAGTTCCCCCTCCCCTGCACACCTACTGACCCCAGAGGTAACCTCTCTAAGAGTTCTGGAAGTTTTATACAATATATTTTTGTGTGGTGGGTCACAGATTAACTCACTCCCTGCTCTTGGAGCTACAAAGGGCAGCACCTTGGTTTTTTTTTTTTTTTTTATTTTTTTTATTTTTTTTAAGACAGAGTCTCACTTTTGTTGCCCAGGCTAGAGTGAGTGCCGTGGCATCAGCCTAGCTCACAGCAACCTCAAACTCCTGGGCTCAAGCGATCCTCCTGCCTCAGCCTCCCAAGTAGCTGGGACTACAGGCATGTGCCACCATGCCCGGCTAATTTTTTGTATATATATTTTTAGTTGGTCAATTAATTTCTTTCTATTTTTAGTAGAGACGGGGTCTCGCTCAGGATGGTTTCGAACTCCCAACCTCGAGCAATCCGCCCGCCTCGGCCTCCCAGAGTGCTAGGATTACAGGCGTGAGCCACCGCGCCCGGCCAGCACCTTGGTTTTGCTCTAACTGGTAGGTTACCTTTTTTCTTACAAGTGCTTCCTCCTGGGGCAGCAGGGAAGTCTGGCCCTGCTGGCTAATGGGAGCCCAGTCTCTTCTGCTTTAGACAGTCTCCTTTCGCTTTGACACAGCTCCTTTCGAGGAAATGCTGGGTCCTTCAGCACTCTGCTCCTCTGCTTCTCCTCCCCAAGAGGGTGCCTTGGGGAAGTTATCTGGACACTTACTGGTACCTGCCATGGGAATGTGGATCACACCTTATCCCTGTGGGTATGTGCTCTTAAAACCTGCAGCCAGTGGACATGAGGCCCGTGCTCCCTTGGCTTGCTCTGACTTGGGCCATCTGCGATTCCCCTGGGGCAAGCCTGGGTACTCTCAGCAAGGTGGTCCCTTCCTTTCACTCCCCCAAACCCTTTCCCTCCCTAAGGAGTCTTTGGCCACTAAATCCAGGCCTTTGTCCTGCCTCATCACTGCCTCATCACACCTCACAGAGGTGCCCGGCTCTGTAGAGGCAGTATTTTTCTAGCCAGTGAAATGGAAGAGGAGCAAGAGCCCTTCTGCTTTTGACTTTCCCCTCCACCTCACCCCTCCCCTCTGGGATTTTGGGTTGAGAGGCAGGATTTCCACAGCCCACGAGTCTGACCCTCTGCCAGCCTGCTAGGTTTCTCTTCTTCCCACAGCCCTTCGAGCCTGAGGGTTGGGCTTTTATTTTACTTCTCCTTCCTGTTTGCTAGGGACTTCTCCTAGGGCATATCTTCCTCTGTCCCAACTATAGTGCTATGTCTTAGTGCAAATTCGGGGAGAGAAATAAGTTTGCTGATACAGGAACATAAATTGGGATATACTTCAAAAATGATCTGCTGTTACAGGTGTCTATCTTTTATTTAGTTTAACCATCAAAGGTGAGGTCGTACTATATGGCATGCTCCATTCCTTCTGATTCCATTTAGTATTTCTTGAAGATCTTTTCATATTCACAAACACACATATCTACTTTATTCTTTTTTCAAAAGCTACATAGTAGTCTATAAAAAGTAATTTATTAAGGCTCCTACTGATGGACATTTAGGTCATTTCTAGTTGTTTTCTATATAAACAATGCTGGAATAAACATTACAATTAATATATATAATTTTAGGGGTTTTTAAAAGTGTATTTGTGTGAGTATATTCTTTGGCTATATGTCTAGCAATGGAATTTATGGACCAATTGGTATGTACATTTTAGATTGGCTAAAAAGGTTTTAGCATTTTATCAGTCTCATCTACCAGTATGAAGTCACTTTTTTCCCCTCAAGATAATGGTTTTTATAATCATGCTATTGATGAGCAGATCATAAAAATACCTTTGGAAGAAAGAGAGGAAGAAACAGAAAGGAAGGAGATGAGTCATTTGGCCAATATCAGCACAAGGTGAGGGAGAGGTCCATGGGTGTTGGGAATCCTCTAGAAAATTCTAGCTCGGCCATTTACTAGCAGTGTGATCTCAGTTTCCCCATTTATGTGGGTTGTTGTGAAGATAAATCAGATAATACATGTAAAGTATTTAGTATTCCATAAATGCTTACTCTCAGTACTACTACTACTACATACCTGGTGCTATGCTAGATGTACTGGGCGCTGGTGAGAATGTAAAAGGAATTACTAGACTTTCTTCCAGACTAGTTGGAAAAACTTAATAACCTCATTAAAAACTACCAGGAAAGAACAAAGACCTTCAAAAGCCCTAAGTGCCATACAAATCCAGATCTACTTTGGAGATTATTTGTGTGGCTGATTTACGTGTATTATTTATGTGGACAATTTAAAAAAAATCAGTCCCAATGAAATGACTTCTTGGGAGTTTGGTGCTTTAAAGAGCTCTCTTCAATTTCTCATGGCTTTCTCGAAAGCATCTCAGAAGTCATACGACAGGTTGATATGTCAACCTAATTTTTCAATAGTTTAATTATATGTTTGTCATGGTTTCTATAGAGTCAACATCCTGAAATTCTTTTAAAAACATTATATGTAGCTTCAGGGTAGAGTTGAGGTAGATTTGGTTCTACCAGTGGGTTTCAAAGGGAAATTTTGTTTTTAGGATCTTTTATTTTGTAAACCATCACAGTCCTGTGTGTGTCTCATTGAAGATGCCGTGGCGTCTGCCCTAGGCCAGTAGAGGAAGTGATGAAATAATGAAACTTAACTGTAGCAGTATCCAACCAGGAGACAGTGGGACAGCTGTCTGCTGTTTTCCCCCAACTTGGCCCTGTTGCATCATGACATGTCACTAGTGATGCTGTGGAAATGCTATTTGAGACCTTCTTCATTCTCTCCTCTATTACTCATATTTTACAGTTTTGGGGTGAGTCAGATGTGGATTTGAGCCGCCATTCTGGCTCTTACTACCTGTATGACGTTAGGCTACTCTTTTTTTTTCTTTTTTTCTTTTTGAGACAGAGTCTCACTTTGTTGCCCGAGCTAGAGTGCCGTGGCATCAACCTAGCTCAAAGCAACCTCAAACTCCTGAGCTCAAGTGATCCTTCTGCCTCCCGAGTAGCTGGGACTACAGGTGTGCGCCACCATGCCCGGCTAATTATTTTTCTCTATATATCAATTGGCCAATTAATTTCTTTATATTTTTAGTAGAGACAGAGTGTCGCACTTGCTCTGGCTGGTCTCGAACTTCTGACCTTGAGCAATCCGCCCGCCTTGGCCTCTCAGAGTGCTAGGATTACAGGCAAGAGTCACCACGCCCGCCCGGCCAGCAACTCTTTTAAGTCAATGTTTTTTCATTTTCCAGTGGAGACAAATGTCCATAAATGAGCATGTTAGCAAGCACTTCAGGAGGTTCAGATATGGGAGGAATGTGTGAGGGAAACTGAAATCCGGAGAGGTGAACTGTTTTGCTTAAGACCATGCAACTAATCAGCGGGAAAGTTAAAGTTGATCCGGGATTTGCTGACCTTTCTAGTGATCCTCTAGTGTTGTCTCCTACCATAAAACAGCTCAAATGTTCTCAGAAAGACACACCCTAGACAGACCCAACTGTCCAGCTCCAAGGTGCACCAGCTCGTCTGCTTTTCCTTCCAGCCGGCTTTCACCAAGGCTATTCTCTTCTTCCTTAAGCTCTAGTAAAAACCTAGGAGTCAGGCAGGTGCCTTCTTCCCTCTCACCCCATATGTAATCTTTCAGAAATCCTGTCATTTTACCTTGCAAATAATTTTCAGATTTATCGACTTCTCTCTGTCTCCACTGCCACGACCCCAGTCAACGTTTCCATCATCTTCCACCTGAATTGTAACTTTCTATCTCATCTCAGAGTGAACTTTTCACAATGTCAATCTGCTCTCTCCCCACCTGGTTTTAAAATCTTCAATGGCTCCCTATGGCTGTTAGGTTGAAAGTATAAACCACATGGTGTGGCCTCCAGTGTTCCAGTGTCCAGCATGGCCCTGCTCTTCAGTCTTAACCTTGTACCATCCTTCTCCCCTCTGTGCTCCTCCTTCCAGCTCCCTGAATGTGTCAGCTCCTCCCTGCCATAGGGTCTTTGCACATGATACCCATTTGCCTAGAACACTCTTTTCTCTCTTCCTCCTCCTTTGCCCAGACAGCTCCTACTCACTCTTCAGTTCTTAGCTCAATGCTCACTTTCTTAAGAAAACCTTTTTTTAACTGTTTCTAGTTTGTCAGGTTCCTGTTACAGGCACTCCTAGGAACCCCCCTTTTTTCCCTGTATATGTGCTTATCACAGTCTGTGATTAATACACTCATTTGTGTAACTACTTGATTAATTTTGGTTTTTCCCATCATGTTATATGTTCTACAAGAGCGGATAACAGGACTGATTTTGCTCACTGTTCCCCCAGCATCTAGAATAGTGCCTGACATACAGTAAGTCCTTAATAAAAAATTTGTTTGATGAATGAATGAAGCTTATGTCCAACTCTTCCTCAAGTCTCCCTTGGTCTATCTTGTCTGGCCCCAATCCCCCAAGGCCCATCTTTCATACATTTGCACTTAGTTGAGCACATGTTAATACACGTGTGTATCTCTTATGTTCTCTTTATCATAAGGTAACTTTTATATTCTGTCTTGGCCATCTTCATTGATACTTTCTGAGTGTCTCAGATAGGAAATAGCAGGGGCCTCATGACTATAAGAAAGGGAAGTACTTAGTAAATTACCCTTCCTTTCTCTCTTTTACTGAACTGCTGGGGAAATCCCTTTGCCATGAAAACCAGAGACAGGGTCAGGCTGGAGGTTTGCATCAAAGCTTGAACCCTAAATAATTAGGAAAAGAGGGTGGAAATCTACAGCTGTTCACAGTCCATTAAATTCCTTTACCTGTGAGAATCATAGGATTAGCTCTCTGAGACCTTTGCATTGATCTCATGGATTTCATACTATTATAAATCATGATTGCAAATTGCTTCAAGCTGTAACCTATACCTAGATAAGGGTTAAGCTTGGGTTGGTAGTGTAGGGCACGTCATCATGTGAGTGCTTAACAGTCCGAACAAACTATTGACCTGAGGCAGAGATGGGGTGGGGAGGCTCTGAGGTCTTCCCTGGGGTAGCTAGGCGTGTTCCCAAGAACTGGAAAGTTGGCAGTGTGAAACTAGGGACTGTCCGAGATAAAGCTTGAAGTGCTTTTGCACTTAGCGCTTAGTGAGGGCTAGCAATTCTTGCATTACTGAGAGTAAATGGGCACTTATGCTTTAGTTTGGGGGAAAATACCGTGCATAGCTCTCCTTTTCTCCAAAGCACAGGTACATTGGAATCTGCCTATATGTTTATTAAGATAATTCAGTGGTCTGTCACAACTTTAGAAAAGGGCACATTTCTTTTGAAATGCAATCCTAAACAGAAGAGTCCATAACATGCTGGCAGTTTTGGCAAAAAGGGAGCCTTTTCTGACTACCTTTTGTTGTGAAATCACTGAATTCCTGCCTGAGCTATGAGAATTTGTCGTGAAACATGTTCCCTGTTGTAACATTTACTACACTTAATACTTTTCCTTTTGGGACCTCATTATGATGTGTACTTATTTGTTGTTTGTGTCTTTTTGTTTGGTTTGTTTTTAGAAAACAAGAGCGTGTCTTTCCTACTAGACCTTAAGCTCCATGGGAGCAGGAATCTCTATTTTGATGACTTTTGTTTCTGTTGGCCCTAGAACCATCTCTAGTATAGGATAGGTGCTCAGTAAGCACTTACAAGTGTGAGTTCACTTAGTCCCTACGACAGCCTAGAAGGCAGTCGTCATAATCATCTCCACTTTGTAAATGAGGAAACTGAGTAGAGAGAGGTTAAGTAATTTGCTAGTCACTAGTGGAGCCAGGATTTGAACCGAATCAATTTGGATGGATTAATCATTATTACACTCTTCTGCCACAAATAAATGTTTGTTAAAAGAA